TTCTTACATCAGAGAAACAATGCAATATTTACACATACGTGCCCAATTTATTTCACTTAAAATATGATCTCAAGGTCCATCCATTTAGCTATAAATGTCTCAAATTTATCCTTCTTTATAGCTGAGTAGTATTTAATTGTATTAAAAAGCCACATCTTTTTTATCCATTCATCAATTGATAGACATTTGAGTTGTTTCCAAGATTTATCTGTTATAAACTATGATGCTATAAGTATGTGTGCATATTTATCATTGTGGTATAATGCTTTTAATTCTTTGGAGAAGATATCAAGAAGGAGAATAACTGGGTCAAATGGAATCTCTAGTCCTAGATTTTTTTTTTTTTTTTTTTTTTTTGGTTTTTCTCCGGTATCAGGAACCGAACTCACGACCTTGCGCTTGCCAGGCAGGCGCTTTTGCCACTGAACTAAATCCCCAGCTCCTCTAGTCCTAGATTTTGAGGAATCTCCACACTGATTTCCACAGTGGTTGCACCAGTCTACACTTCCAGCAACATTGGATAAATATTCCTTTTTCCTTAGAGCCCCACCAGCATTTGTTATTGGTTGATTCCTTGATGATAGCCATTCTTTCTAGGCTGAGATGGAATCTCAGCATTGTTTTAATTTGCATCTCTCAAATGACCAATGATATTGTACATTTTTTCATATATTTATTTCACATTTGTACTTCTTCATCTCAGAAATGAGTATTCACCTCAGATTCCCATTTTTAAATTGGATCCTTAACTTTGGGGTGGTCTGATCTTTTTCAATTCTTTATATGTTCTAGAAATTAATCCTGGGCTGGGGATTTAGCTCAGCAGCACAGCGCCTGCCTGGCAAATGTGAGGTCATGAGTTTGATTCCCGGTACTGGAAAAAAACCCACAAACAAACAAATAGAAATTAATCCTATACTCTGGTTTCTCTTCAGATCCTAAAAACACCTTTCCCCTTTTTAGATATTAATCCTTTGTTGGAGGAACAATGGGCTAAATTTTTTCCCATTTTGTGGGTTGTCTTTTCACTCTGTTGGTGATTCATTTTGCTGTGCAAAAGTTTTTTTAAATAAAATTAGATCCCAATTGTTGAGCCTTTGTAGTATTTCCTGTGCAGTCAGAGATTTGTTCATGAAATTTTGCCTGTGCGTATGTCTTCAAGAGTTCTACCTATTCTCTTGTCCAGGAGATTTATTGCTCCTGCTTTAATATCTAGATCTTTGATCCATTTCAATTTTAGTTTAGCGCTTGGTGATAGACAAGATCTAGTTTTAGTCTCAGCATACGGAAAACCAAGTTTTCCAGTGAAAGCGTTTGGCCCCTTTGTCAAAGATAAGGTGGCTGAGTGTGTTTGGAGCTGTTTTTGCATCTTCCATTCTCTTCCATTGATCCTTGCCTCTGTTTTTTTCTCTTTTTTGCCAGTAGCATGCTGTTTTTAATCACTGTATCTCTGTAGCATAATTTCAAGTGAGGGATTGTGATGCCCCTTGACTTGTCTTTGTTGCCCAGAACTGTTTTTGCTCCTCTGGGTCTCTTCTGCTTCCAGATGAATTTTAGGAATGTTTTCTCTAGCTATGTGAGGTGTACTAATGATATTTTGATTGGGATTGCATTAAATCTGTATAACAATTTTGGGAGCATGGCCATTTTCACTATGTTTGTTCTTCCTACCCAAGAGTAAGGGATATCTTTCCATTTTCTGATGTCCTCTATGATTTCCTTTTTCAGAGTGCTGTAGTTTTCAATGTAGAGATCTTTTACTTCCTTTGTTAGATTGATTCCAAAGTATATCATGCTACTGTGAAAGGTGTTGTTTCACTGATTTTTCTTTCAGTGAATTTGTTATTTATGAACAGGAATGCTACTGATTTTTGAGTGTTGTCTTTGTAGCCAGCTGTGCAATTGAATTTGGTTATTAAATTAAGATATTCTTCGATGGAGGTTTTCAGATCTTCTATGTAGAATATGTTATCTGCAAATAATAATTTAACTCCTTCCTTTTTATGTTTTAGATTTCAAGAGGACAGGTTTTTTTTATGGCTTTTTTTTTTTTTTGGTACTGGAAATGGAACTCAGGAGCTTGCCCTTGCCAGGCAGGCTCTTGTGCCACTGAGCTATATCCCCGGCCCTATTTTAGATTTCAGAATGATTTCTTTTTATTCCCAGTATCAATATATATACACGTCAAGACATTCAGTGTATGCCATAAGGTCATCTTAACTTCAGCTGTCCTAGCATTGCTCTGAGACGTCTAGTTGCTGTCAGATGTCGAATTGCTGTGTAGTGCCTCATGATGTTGAGCATCTTTTTATGGTCTGCAATCCTAAATGACATTGCTTGTTTACATACTATGAAGTTCATTGTATACTCTGAAAACAAGTTCTCTATTGAATATGAAATTTTGAAATTTTTATGAAAAATTTGTGAAATTTTTAGGTATTTCTAATACTGTATTTTATCTTTTGACTTTCTTTTTTATAATTAAGTTTATTGATATATTTTTGATATACTTAAGTATATTTTAATAGCTGAAGATTTTAATTTTTATGACACCTAATTTGTAATTTTTGTTTACTTTATTGTCTTTTACTATCATATGTTAGAAATATTTCCTAGGCATGAATTAAAATGTTCTTTTCCTGCTTTCTTGTAGTAGTTTTTTGTTCAGCTATTTCACTTGATTGGGGATCCATTTCCATTAAATGTTGTACATATTCAGAGACATAACTACTTCCTATCTCTTACCTCCCTTCCTACCCCTTTCTGCCTTTCCTCCTTTTCTTCCTTCTTTCCATCTTTATTCATTCTTTCCTTTCTTTCTTCCTTTTATAGCTATTATAAATTATAGCTACTCAATTCTTCTAACTTCAATTTTTGAAAAGATTATCATTTCTCTAGTTAATCACATTGCCATCTTTATGAAAAGACAAATCAATCGCATGATTATTTATTTGTAGTCCTACTTCTGGATCTCTATTGTAGTCCATTGTTACTTTTGCCATTACTACTGTTTTGATTAATGGAGATTTATATGAGATATTCAAATCAGGTGAGGTATACAGACTTTACTGTACTATATGAAGTTTTACATTAAAAAAAAAATTGCATCATTGTCATAAGCCTCACTTGTTCATTGGTCACTTTCATATAATGGTGAATTAAATTTTCTGAAAATTTAATGAGAATTTTATCAATGTTCATTAATGTTCATGAGTAATGTTATTCTATAGTTTTCTTTCCATGTAATATTTCTTCCTATATTTGGTATTGGAATAATTTTAGCTTTGTACATTGCTTATATCTTCAATTTTCTGGACAACACTTGGTATTAGTTCCTCATTAAATCTTTGACAGAATTCACTGATTATGCTATTTCACAAGCTCATACTTTAACTTCTTAAATATATGAGTATAATAGTAATGAATATTTCAATATTCTTCTTTGCTAATTTTATTATCTTTTAAAATCAATTTTCCATTAATTTTGTCTCACATAATGGCTCTTATGATCACATTACCTGCATGAGGCATAATGTTTTAATATGATGGCAGATACTCAGTTTCCATTTTACTTTGTGAGATGCCAATATACATGTACATATATCTAAATGTGCCCTTTACATCTTCTTGAGCCTTGGCTTATGATGCAAATTACTTAGAAATACACCCTTAATTTTCAAATTTGAAATGAAGCTTTGTTGGACACTTCCAGGCAAGCTCTTAGTCTAGGTCTAATTTTCCTCAGTACTTAGGCAATACCTATATTGAGCATTCTACTTAATACCTTGTCTATGATGAAGGTTTGTTCAGTCTGAATTGTGGAAATACAAACTCTCTTTATCACTTTGTAATCACAAAGGATTGTACTGACTGTCCTGTTTCTGCGATTCTTTGTCAGATCCTGCATAGATTCTCATACACATGTACTTATAGGTGCAGTACTCAAGTGAAACCTTGAAAAGAATGCCATGAAGACTTCCAAGTCTCTTTCTGTAATTCTCTTCTAAAGAGTATTGTTATGTATTCATTGATATGTACCACTTATTATATAGGTACACACACACATTTCTATTTGTTGTTTAAAGGCAGAGGCTAAATGCATTCTCTCACACCATCATAGCCAATAGATGTATCACCTTTAATGAGAGAACACAGTACACTTGGAGCTATTTATAAAATGTATTTCTCCAGGAGAAAAATATTTGTTGCAAAAAAGCTAAACAGAAACAGGAAGTCAGTACAACTTCCTGAAGAAAATAAGAAGGCATCATGAACCATTAGGTTAAACATCTTTTCCAGGTTTCACAAGCCTATTTAATTACTGCATTGACACTCATGTCTTTTGATTATAAATTCAATGTCTCATGTAACTTGCAATTTACTAATATATATTTTCAAATTGGAAACTTTAAATAAAATGCCTCATATTGATAATTATATTTATTCAATATATCATAATTCACAGTGCACCTAAGTATCTTATCTGATTCAAGTTCCATGACACCTCTGAGGAGTTAGAATCAAGGTATTTTGATTGCTTTTAGACAGAGTAAGAATTTGTGACCAACAAGACATCAGCAGACCTCTAACAGTGACTTATATGAGCCAAAATAGAAATTTGAGCAGGCCATCAAGCTCCTGTTCCAAAGCTCTGTCTACTTGCTTACATTGGTTATGAAGACGATTGTATTTGATTATGCCTTTTAGGTCAAATTCTGAAGCCTGCCAGTGTCAACTTGCTGTATCACAAAATGTTTAATACACATACCTGAGCTACAGCCCTATATGTCAACTCACTTTATGTAATAAAGATTTATAACAAGAATTAACTATTTAAAATATTATCCACCTTGACCAGACCTAATATAAGTAATTTCTTTATGCCCAATTCATGAAATTTCCTAAAACATAAACAAAATAATATGCTGCCTCCATCTAAGGAAACCTGTGGAAAATCAATGTAATTTCTTTTTTAAAATTTTATTTTCTTTTTGCTGTAGATTTTAAAAACATCCAACTCTCTACATTTATAAAAAAGAAAACTGCATAATCTGTCCAGGTGGGAGAGCAGTCAGTGGACACTGGTAAGTTACACCACCGTTCTTCATAGGGGTCCCAGGGATTTGTCTTCTCAAGCATTATTTGACATTGTCTTCAATTCCCAAAACCAGAGACAATCCATAAATTGAACCCATATGTTATAATTTTTAAAAGTTTGCCTTTAGTAACAAAGTGTCAGGCTGCCAATGATAGGACTTCCCGAAAAAGAGAGCTGTCCTCGGCTGCCTCACTACCATACAATATGCACTGCAGGCGGAGGAGCCTGTGGTTATAGTATGAAAACAGACTTTGAATTTTGTGACCACACAAGTTATAATTCTTATTCTGGGAACTTGTCTGGGATCTTTTATTCTTTCAACATATCAGAGATACATGGGTAGTAACAAGCAAAATCCATGTTTTCTCCAGGAGTACCAAAAGTTTAAATTCTAGGACATTTCTGTACTAACCCAACAATCTTCCTAGAAAGAGGTTAAGAATCATATTTTATATGCATATTGAGCACACTAGATAAACAGAGTATCTCTGGGCTTACTGCATATTAACTAAAATGGTCAGAATAACTGCAATTCAAATGTTTCTCTTAAAAAGCAATATTATGCTAATTAGAGTGAAGAATCCTCTGCCGGTATGATATGCAGGTCATCATTTTGTGAGAGAAAGAAATATACCCCCAGACCACTTGGAAAAAAAGGAAAGTGAAACCAGGAACCCATCAAGGGCCAAGGGATCTCCAGAGTTATCTTATTGAACCTCCTTATTTATTGTATCCATGTAGTCTCAGTCTCTTGGTTTCTTTGATTCTGTCGAGATATTATCTGTTGTCCTCCCTCTTCTGCTTACTTGGAGCCTCTGATCCTGTATCTTTCAATTGTATTTGATTATATGAAACTTATGAAAGTTTATTATGTGAAACACTCTTATGAGTGTTTCTAAGAATGATAAACCAGCCTTTCTAATGAACCAGGCTTTCTTTCATATGATTGTGTTTCAGTTAGTTATTGAGGTGGCCCGCAATAGTTATTAAAAATGACTGCTCATGTAAATCTGCTTTGCCCTCAAAAAGATTTTCTAGATTAGTCTTGAGTATCTGATATCTGCCATAGGGAAATCACCACTACACTATCGTTAGTGAGTTGTAGGGCTTTCAAACTAAGGCATCAAAATGTGTAGGGTGCGAGAACATTTCCTTAAAATCTTAAATGATATGCTTTATTTGGTTGAAATTTTATATTCATATACAAAATGTATGCTTCATTTAAATTATTCATAGGACTTAATAGAGTTTCCAGCATAATGTTTAAAGTTAGAAAGCTATCTTTTATTTCATTTTATTTATTTATTTTATTTTAAAGAGAGTAGTACAAAAAAAGAACAATAGCAGCATACCAACATCACAGACATAAACAAAATAAAGAAAGAACATTAAAAGTGATACAGGATTTCAAAACAAAGTGATAGAAATTAACAGTGGTTGTTATATTACATACTGTTATCTTCAACTACTTTGCTCAGATTACCAGATGTAAGAATGGAAGATTGTCCAAACCATTAAAGAGAATTTTAAAAATTATTAAATGAAACATTAGAGATAATACAGAATTTCACTAGACAAGATGGTAGGAATTCCCCAATGGTTGTTCCATTGCATATTGTTGCCTTCAAACCAGTTGCTCAGATTACCAGGTATAAGCATGCAAAATTGGTCAAAATATAAAAAATTTCATGCATATATATATATATATATATATATATATATATATAAGAATAGCTAGGATAACTGTACTGCCAATGTCTGGTGGTAAATTGGAAGCTATATTTTAAATGCGTTGTCCATTTCAATTTGCTTTCAAAGTATTCAAATAATGCATTTCATATGAAGGGTCAGGTTGTATACCTTTGGGTAACTTCATATGACAGCATACCATTACATGCAAGATCTTTTATACACTTCAGTTATTCAGATACATGTAATGCACTCATCTCCAGCTAGTTTACTCAACTATAGTTTGCAAACAAAAACAAATTTCCCCTCCTCTCTGTTGACTCTCTGAGCAAGATGATAGAAATTGAAATTTCCCAACAAAATGATTTTTAAGACAAAATTATGGCAGACAGCATAAAATAAAACTTAGTTGGAAATAAGACCTAGTAATACTTAAATTCTTGAATGATACCCAAATATTAACTTAACTTGAGGGAGAAAACATAATTCTGTATCACATGTCCTCTATCCTCAGTGCCTTAGGAAAAATGACAGCACTTAATAGTTATAAGCATTATGCCCTGTGGTAGTCAACGCATCAGTTTTGTTCAACAGTTTTTAACTTCTCTTTCCTCAAGCCACAAGGAAGAAGTATTTCTCTTCGATGTTGGAGGCAGGTAATATCATAGTGCTTGCTTTGGCTAAAGAAATTTGAAAGGGGTTATGCAGCACCCCTCCAGGTAGAAGCCTTACGAGCCATGGTACAATTCACTTCCTTTGGTTTTCCTGTGTCATCAGTCACCTAAATAGTGTTCAGATAAAGCTTACATCAGCTGGGTCTTGGAGGACCTATGGGAAACAGAGCAAGCAGCTGAGCATACAGAATGAAAGAGAATTAAGCTTTTGTTTCACTGAAGTTATTCAGATTTTAAGATTTCATGGTTATTGTTACACAGCATCGCCTGATGGGTGAACACAGCATGATCTTGTACGCCACCCCTCAAGATAGCCACCAAACAAAATGGAAAGAAACTGTTTCAATAACAGAAGATTTAGTTGAAGATATAAAAGGAAATTCTATCTTAATAAGTATTGCAAAGGTATTTCAAAAATAAGACACGTTTCTACTTTAAAAAATATTCTTATTCTTTCAGGAAAGAAAATTGTGACTTTCCTATTCACAGTTTCATTATTTGCAAGTTCCTGGTATTTCAAAGTTCAATCTCTTACTGGCAAAATGAACCTACTTGCTTTATGACTCTGACTTAAATTTTGCCTGAACCAAGAATCAGACTTAGAACAAATTAGTAATTAAATAAATAGATAGATGACAAAGAGCTATGAAGTACTTTTCAGGAGCTTCTCCACTATGACTCCCGGCATATTAGTTATTTTTCTATTAATCTACCTTGTGCCTTTCATACTCCCAACATAACTGTCTGGCAGAATCCTTTCCATCCATTTTAGAAAGTTCATACTCATCCAGTCAAAGCATATTGGATGTTGACATAGTCAAAACATTGACGACCATTCAGTTCCTACCTCAAGTTCTCCCATTTCTTAGTCTTTTAATATAGAAACATTGCATGTTTTAACAATTAAATATGGCTTCCAAAGTATTACAATGAATTTTACAACCAAATTAGCCACTCTTTTTTAGAAAAGAACATTTCAGGACATATCTAGAGTAATAAACAAAAGAAAACGCCCTAGAAAGCAAAGGCATCAAATGTTTCTGACCAGATGGTCTCACGAATACACATGAATCATGCCACTTACTTTGAGTTATATAGGAGAAAGGTAATTAACATGCATTGATGAAGATACTACTTGGTTTTTATAGCGAAGGGCGGTGGGCTGAATACTGATGTCCTCCCAAATTTTGTAGTTTGAAATCTAAAATTTACAGTGAGAGTACTGAAAGGTTGTGCTTTGCAAGGTGGTTAGGTCGTGAAAACAGCTATATATGAGATAAGCATCCTTGTAATCTGAGAGTTAGTTCAACTCATGCCACTACCACGTGAGACATAGCAAGAAGGTGTGTCCTTGCAAGGCAATTACTGTGCTGGCACTTGGCTCTTTGATTTCTCAGCTTGCAGAGAAACAAATTTCTATTGCTTAAGCCATCAAATTTTTGCTGTTTTGTTATAGTAGCCCCATAAACCAAGACACTGGAAACTGCACATAAATTACAGCAATAATATATGGATGATTTTCAATAGAACACTCATCCATTTTCATTCATTATCTTATCTATACATCCTCAGAAACCCACCAGGTAGTTGTGTAATTTGTTCTGTTAGATGTCACAATTGTGAAAGCTTTTCCAGTTCATTTTAGTGAGGACATAATAATCTTGATTATTTCTGAATGATGTTAAGTAATGCTTCAGGTTAACAATACATTTTTCTTGTAATCTCCAAGGATAGATTGTTGCAAATCTTTCTTTCCTACCCTCAGAACTTAAACTAGAGCAAGTAAAAATTTTCTGTTATATTCTTTCCATTTGTCTTATTATAAATTTAATTAGCAGCAGCATTAAATCACTTGAGCACAGATTAATAAGTGTATGTTAAAATTTTTCACAATGGATTAACATCTCCATGTTCAAGAAAACAATAAAACCCTGATTCTATCTGTAAACTATACATGTATAATACAGAAGTCTGAAGAGAATGTTACTTTTAATGAAATGCAAAGAAATCATGATATAGAATATAGTTATAAAACTCTGAGAATTCAAAGTCTTATTTGTAAATCAAGAGTTGAACTTGATTAGCATATCTTTGCCAAATACTTCAGATTTGGTAAAAAGCCCTATCTTATTATAATTTCTTTTAATGTGATTTCTAATAATTTAAACAGTGTAACATCATACATAATACATGTCAATATACTGTGCCAATATAGGATGTGATATAGCTATACTCTTATATTTAAGATGTATGAACTCAATACATCCTGTTACCCAATGCAGCCAGGAAGACATTTGTGAAGAAAGTTAGTGCAGTACTCTCAAAAAAATTGCTTTCATTGGTTTTAAGAACATTTCTAAACCGTGATTAAATTATTTTTAATATATTCACTTACTGTGAGGATATTAATTAGAAAAGAAGTAACGGCTTTATAATAATAAACGTGTGTTAAGTAAAAGATCAACATAGTAAACAAATGACAAAGGTCATAAGTAGCAAAAATTTAAAAGGCCTGTGTAGAGATCCATTTAAGTACATTCTCTTCACCTTTAAGGAAAATACTAATGATACCAATACATGTAATAGTATTGATAATTGTGGAAATAAATATGTAGCTTGGTAAGAAGCTATGACTCTTTTAGGTGGAGCGGATGAACTCAAAACATCGTGATCAATTCTTTTTTTTTTTTTTTTTTTGGTTTGTCTCCGGTATCAGGAACCGAACTCACGACCTTGCGCTTGCCAGGCAGGCGCTTTGCCTCTGAGCTAAATCCCCAGCCCCATCGTGATCAATTCTAATGAGACTTCAGACCCTCACTATGCTTTCAAAGAAGCTGCCCTCTCTCCCCATTTTTATAGAGACATTGAGAAATGTGTAAGTTTTGAAAAAACAAAATATAGGCTGGCAGGAAGAAATTCTATCTTGTTGGGTCTCTGAAACAGCGGAGGGCTGAACGCTGTAAACACGGTACCTTGAGCAGTAGTTGCCTTATGGCTTGTAGTTTGAGGCCAAGAATAGCATGATAAACTTAGAATGTGTTTATCTCTTGGCAGCTTCGTTTCACTTGCAAGCTGGGAGGGACAAAGACCAACAATTTTCCACCTACAAAGTGCATCTAAACTGGCAGAGAACTGAGTGAGTAAGTCATATTGAGCCTCCGGATCGCAACTGTTCTCAAAGACAGATGGACAGTTTTGGAAAGGGGGGGTGATTCAGCCAAAACCTAAAGGTGCTTATGGTGATAATGTCCTGGAGTTGGGGCGTGGGAGTGGAGGCAAGCTTTAACTTGGAGACTTCACATACATTTAGTGCTATTTTAAGAGACAAGCGGTATGTGTGCAAATTTTTATAATTCTGCGTTCACTGGTAGTTGAAAACAGGTAGCAGTTTGCAGCATGCTGAGAAAACCTGTGTTTTTCTCCTGAAGACAGACATAGCTAAGCAATTTTTCCAAATACATCTTTTTAATTTCTTTCATAAGTGTAAAGAAAATCACTTATCTGTTTCATTCAGTGGTTTAATGTGAATTGTTTAATGATTATAACTAGGTAAAGTTTCATATTTTATTTTCAAATTGCTTACTTTGGGAGTCTCATTACTTAATTGAGATTGGTTGAGTAGAGAGGAGTCTGGGTGCTGTAATTTTCAACAGTGAGGAGAGGAACTTCTCTATACAAGGTTTGAGACATCTGCCGAAGTTGGGTTATTTGTGTATTAGGGGTGTTATGTTTCAAATCACAGAGATATTTTGAGATCATAAAACAAAATTCTTTTTTTAACCCAGTGGATTCACATTTTTTGTTTTCAATATAATCCTCTTGTGCTTTAAATTATACCGCACTCCCCAAGATTATGCTGGAATAATAATACTTAGAAAGTGCAGAAAAAGTCTGTTGGTATCCAGGTAGTTCATTTTATGGATACAGTATGGTTCAATTTGACAATGAATTGAGATGAAATTATTTACATTATCATAAAGAATAAAGGATAATCTATTTCCTTTCATAAAAGAACTATGATTGAAATAAAGGTGAAAAATAATGTCAGAATGTAAATAAAATTTGATCACAGATCATTCAACTCAGAAAATTCTGTTTGAAATTTCTTTCAAGAAAAGTAAGAAAAATGATTGTACATACCTTATTTACAAGTTATTAAAAAATAGATTTGTGAAGTGAAAACAGAAATGGCTAAAGCAAAAGATATGCAGAAATAAATTTTAAGTAGTTCTGCAAATGACTCACCAATTTTTTTCCAGACAGTGGTAAATTAACATATTTTACACCCAAAGTAAAACTAATGCAGTTGCACCGGCCAAATTCCAATTCCGTTGCCTTGTCATGTGTCCAGAGTAATTGTTTGTTTTCCCCCAAGAAATATTTCCTATGTACCTCTACCAGACCTCATGCTGGAGTTTAAATCCTGACAAGAATATGCGATTCTTTTTCTACTTGTATAATTCAACCTTCAGTCTGCTGAAAAGCCTCAACCCAACCCAGGCCAGTATTACTATTCTTTTTACTGTTTATTGTGCACCCTGAGTATATCAACTTGTTCTGTTTAAACCACAACACTACAGGGAAAGTTTCTTTATGTGTTAATTTGGGTTCATTAGTGGTCATCGAATGGGACAAATAGAATTTTGAATCAGAATTGACATAAAGTTTCCTTGCTGGTAAAGTTAAATCCATTTCCACCCAAAGTGAATTATGTTTAACTCAACTTGGGTGTTTGTTCTCATTTTCACCTCATCTCTCTGTAAATATCAGTATTTTAAGTACTACAGGATCATAGAGAGTTGAAGGAATCAAAATGGAAGTCTTTTAAAAAATCTGAAAGTGAAGATGCTTCTCTCATATTTAATATTCATAGCGGTCTTTGCTTGGTTGTCTTCCCTACCTCTCTTTCCACTTACTGGAGAAGCTACAGTTTCCATATAAATAGTACTCCCTCCCTAAAAGAGCAAATTGTTCAGAATGAGTCAGCAGCTGAAGGAAAAAAGAAGGCAACGGAATCCTAAAAATAATTCTGAAAATATTTGTCAACAATAACAACAACACAAATTTTCAGAACTGGAAAAAGAGATACAAAAATTCATCCCCCATGCAGACGTTGTACATGCTGAAACACATTCCCATGAAGGAAGGAATGTCCGTGATGGGTCTCATCACACAGCACTTGGAGATTCAGACTCTAATATGGAGAGAGAAATATTCAGGAACTAGTAAGGGAATATGAAATGGATTCGAATAAGACAGTGAGTGCTTCTTCTCCTTGAAAGGGAAGAAGCACAAAAGGGTGTTGTCACAGCCACTGTAGATTGCAAAAAAAAGAGGAACTATTGCCCACATTCTGAGAACGTGCTGTTCTGCCCGGGGAGAAGTATATCAAGGGAAGAGTGAGATTGCTTTGTCATGGCAATCATCCCAAAAGGGTCCTGAACTCTCAGCAATAGTAGACTTTCCTCTCTACGCTGAACTGAGTAATCTGTTGTTCTGGCTTGTATTGTCCTATCCTAATATAAATAGAAGCTTTGAAAAGTCTGAAAAGATGAAAAGTTTCTCCTCCCCTCTGTGCCAGAGATGACATTCTGCCAACTACCTCTTAACATAAAACGGTAGAATCCCGTCCAATGCGACTAAGTGAGATGACTGGATTGTAAAACTTCAGTGTCCAGTACAAACTTAGCCAGCAAACACTTTCCATTTAAAAGTTTCTTGCTGCTGAACAAACATAGCCAATTCCCTTGAAGATTATTTTAGCCCTCGTTGCTTTTGCACAAAGATTCCTCGTGTTACTTTGAGATTATCCCTTTGTTGCATTGAGAACAGGCCGTCCCTATTTGAGGAGGATGAGAAACCAAAGCCACTGATACAGACTGAAAGTTTGGCTCTGGACCATGTTACTGGAAGGAGGTTCAAATGTGGACCAACACTTTGCCTTGGCTGTGCAGTACCTGCACCTGTGTTTTATGCTAAGAAAATATTTCCGTCCCTGGAAATATTTAACTGCTGAAATTCAAAACACTGAAGACAGCTCTCTAACTAGTTGTGTTAGTTTATTTTCTCATCGCTGAGACAAAATACCCAACATTACAGGGAGAAAGGTTTATTTGGCTCACAGTTTGTAGAGGGTTCAGTCCATATCAGCTGACACCAAGGCAGGGTGGCACGTGGCTGAGGGACAGCTGTTCATGGCTGTGGAAGACAGCAAAAGCAGCAAATGAGATCAAAAGAGAGGTGACTCTTTCTGTTTCTTATATTTTATCCAGACTGCTGGGAGTAGGGCGGTGCCAGTCCAATCAGTGGAGTGATCCAGAAGTCACCCACCCTTAATCCTAACACCCTTAATCCCAACATTGCAATACGAATCATTCACAAACTCTAGATTCAGCTGCCTTTGAAAAATCCCCATCTAAAACTGCATGAGGCTTTTGGGGGACATCCAGACACAAACCATAACACTTGAGTTAAAGGTCTGACTATTCTACCTTTGTAGAGAATTTCAACTCTACTTTACCTTTTTCCTCTTTTGATACTTATTCTTTTTTTTACCCAGATTCTATTACCCACCTTCAACTTATGTTTTCGTTAACTTCTTAAACAGTGACATTACAACTTAAGTAGCCAGAAGGAAAAGAGGTGCAATGATCCAAGCATTTCATGCAGAAATAATCCAAGATAAAAAGTTGTGTCAGTTTTAATTATTATGCATTACTTTTTCTAAAACTAAAATTTAATGCTTTTCTCTGGACTCAAATCATAACAAGCCAATCCTTGAAAGTCTTTTCAGTAGAGACAAATTCACTGAAACCTAATCTCTTGAAAGCTGACATACCTTCTTGCTAAATAAAAACATGGAGCAGTCCATATAAAAGGATAGTTTCACTATCTTTTTGAAATTTCTATAAAGTAGTTCACTACATGTTAATGTGTCTTGAAAACAGTATTTTAAGCAATGTGTAATTTGTCTGTCCCAAAAGAAGAAATGCTTTCTTAATATATATATACACAATAGGACAATGTTTTTATGAAATATCTTTGTGAAAATGTACTTTACATATTTATAGATTAATATAGTTTTCAATACCTCTTTGAGTATATTAAGTATAAGTATACTTAAGATAGTGTTTTACATATATCCTGTGGCCTTCAGATTTTCCCTTTCTTGCTTTACCTTCTTTATTACATCTTACCAAGTCTCCGTTTTCAATAACCCTTTTTCTTCCTCTCCATCCTTCATCCTTAAATCCACTTCCAGTCAGTCCCAGGGAAGGTGAGAAGACATGCTGGCCAAAACAGTCTTGACTTTGCCCTTGCAGTAGGTAAAACAGTGTATACAAATGTTTTAGTGGTATACAGTTTCTTACTGTACACTCCATCCCTTGAGTCCTCCATCACTGTAATGCAAAGTGTGAGACTTGTGTTTGATAACAACAAACAGGCAGCCTCTATGTTTACTTCTATTCTATTCAGTTACCAAAATAAGTAGTCACAGAGAGGCAAACAAATTACTGAAAATATTGAGAGAAGAACACAATGAGAAATGATCAAACAAAGTTTTTCCGTAGACGTCAATGATTACTCCTTCTTTAATGCTATAAAATTTATCATAAATATATTCAAAACAGTTCAAATAAAATATATATGTATTGATCTTTTTGAGACAGGGTCTCACTATGCTGTTCAGGTTGGCCTTGGACTTGCTTTGTAGACCAGGCTGACCCAGAACTCACAACAATTCTCCTACCTCAGCTTCCTGAGTGCTGGGATTATAGGCATGCACCATCATGTCTGACCAAGAAGTAAAAAGTATATTTCAATGATTGGAGTTTGATCACATTGGTCATTGGAAAACTGACTTTCATAAAATTAATTTACAACTGTATAATAGGATGTAGGACAAGAAACAAAGGCAGCTTACACTATCTTCTCCCCTACCTCTCTGTAAAACCCGCTTCTCTGTTAATGTAACTCAAGAATTATACTTTCAGTTTACAAATTATTTGATTAAGTATGCACAAAGAGTGTAACATAAACTCATATAATCTGTGAAATCTATATCACCATTTATTGAATACTTATTCTGTGTCCAGAATTGTCCAAAGAAGTTATCCCATTTAATATCAAGATAAC